GAGACACCAGTGTGAAAGTGCGTCCCACTGTTTTTTCGTCTTATCACAGAGAAGGTGAGTGATATCAGCACCAGAAATTATATCAGCTATCATAGCATAGAAACAGGTTTTTTCTGTATAAAAGCTTTTAACTGAGATGAGAACATGAAACATTATACTGTTCTTTCTACTCTAAAATGTACTTGAAATTTTCCACAAAAGGAGCTTTATTTTGAAAAAAATGGCTTTTAGTTTGTGAGGTGCCATATACTTGCATGTGGTATAACTGTCATAATTATTTCTATATGTCTTTCTTTACTAGATGTTGATTTTCCTAAGGGCAAGAAATGCCTTCCTCCTCATTGTGTCTCCTGAGTGATTTGCAGGGTAGGTCCTGTGAATGCCGGGAAACTACATTTCTTGCTAAGGGACACTTTTAGGCTCAGATGGGTTAGGATCAGTTTCTAGACAGGAGCCACCTTAGAAGGATGCTCTTCTGGTATTTCAGTAACTAAATCCCCATGGCTGAGATCTACAGTGAATTTGCTACAGATTAAATTTCTTCAATAAAATAGTCTTAAACTGTGGTTTCAGTGTAATTTTAGAGGTCATTCTTAGTACATATTTTAAAGTTATTTTTGAATAGGAAATATATGTATATGGTACAGAATTTTTACTGTGCAAATATTCCCGCCCCTGCCCCCCCCCCCCCCCCCCCCCCCCCCCCCCCCCCCGCAGCCACCAGCTCCTCCTCTACCCCAGAGCAGTCCATGGTGCCCAGTCTCTGGAGTAGCCTTCCAGAGATAGTGTGTTGGTATAAACATATAGTTCTTTGGGTTTTGTTCTTTCCTTTTTTTAAAAGGATAACATGGTGTTCACACAGTTTTACATGTTGTTGTATTTTTCTCTTCTAGAGTATTAGTACTTCAAAAGCTGCTGCTGCTTCAACCTTTGAATACATACCGTAATTTATATAGCTGTTTTCTTTTTGATGGACATTTAGATTATGATGGCAAAAATCTAGGTAAAGAATCATTGGCAGTGAATATCGTTATAGATACCTCACTGTATACATGTGTAAGAACATCTGTGCAGTTGAGTTCCTAGACATAGGGTTGCTGGGTCAGAGAGACCTGCATGTAAAATGTTTGGTAGCATTGCCCTTCCATACAAGAGTGTTAACTGTTCACTTCCTCGCAGTGGGCAAAAGTCTGAGTCACACTTACTCTTGCCAAGATAATTTATCAGACTTTTTGATCTTTGCCAATCTTAATGGTAATGTGTTATTTGCATCACAACTTTTCACATATTTAAAATCCATTTTCGGGGCTGGGGTGGGTGACTGCCAGCGGGCACAGGGTTTCTTTTGGAGGTGATAAAAATGTTACAGAGTTAGATGATAGTGATGGTTGTACAGCTTTGAGAATCTCTAATAACCATTGAATGATGCACTTTAAAAGAACTAATTTTGTGGTACGTGAATTGAATCTCAATAAAGCTCCTGTTTTAAAAACCCATTTGTATGACTCAGTGCCTGTAGTTCAGTGGTTAGAGCACCAGCAACATACACCGGAGTTGGCGGGTTCAAATCCAGCCCAGGCTTGAAACAATGACAACTGCAACCAAAAAATAGCTGGGCATTGTGGTGGGTGCCTGTGGTCCCAGCTACTTGGGAGGCTGAGGCAAGAGAATCTCTTGAGCCCAAGAGTTTGAGGTTGCTGTGAGCTGTGACACCATAGCACTCTACTCAGGATGACATAGTGAGACTCTGTCTCCAAAAAAAAAAACCCCATTTGTATTTTCTTTTCTGCAGATCTGCTTCATTTCCTCTGTTTTTACAAGAAATTAAGTATTTTTTCCTTGTTATATTACTATTGTTTTTCCCAAGTTGACTATTTAACTTTTGACCTTGATTTCACTCTCTTTCAGTCATGGAGAAAATTTTTATTTTTCTTTGTTCAAATCTTTTGATCTCTTTTTAAGAGCCTCTGAGGTGGTTTTCATACTTGCAGAAGTTTTTCTTTAATATTATATATTTTTAATCCCCATGTTTCTTCTGGCCTTCTATGTTTCCTCCATACATATATATATTTGGGAGGGAGCGGGCCTGGTTTGAACCTGCCACCTACGGTATATGGGGCCAACGCCCTACTCCTTGAGCCACAGATGCCACCCCTTTCTAATATTTTTAAATCTTTGATTTACTTGGAGTTTATTTTGGAGTGAGTTGTGAGAAAAGGATGCACCTTTTTTCTCCCCAATGATACCTGGTTATCCCCTCATGATTTTTTAAAATAATTTGATTTACCCTATAGCTTTGGAAAGTGGGGAGGGTTTGTTTGTTTGTGTTTGTTTTGAGACAGAGTCTCACTTTGTTGCCCTTGGTAGAGTGTCATAGTGTGAGTGAGCTCACAGCTACCTCAAACTCTTAGCCATAAGCGATTCTCTTGCCTCAGCCTCCCAAGTAGCTGGGACTATAGGCACCCACCATTAACACCCAGCTATTTCTAGAAACAGGATCTTTTTTTTTTTTTTTTGAGACAGAGCCTCATACTATCCCCCTGGGTAGAGTGCTGTGGCATCACAGCTCACAGCAACCTCCAACTCC